CGGTTCCACCAGGCTCCTCTACCTGGGCCACCCGTCCCTGCCCCTCTGCCCTTCGTTGAGCACCCACCTTCCTGTCCTCCTGTTGGGCAGCATCAAACGTGAAGCTCTGGCAGTTCTGCAAAGAGACCCGGAGGCTCAGAAGGCGCAGGCCCACCGCGGCAGAACCCGGGCTCCGTGGACAGGGACCTGAGGCCGCAGGCACCGCTTGGAACAGATGGCGCCCCAGCCCCCACAGCAACTCCTCAGAGACTCGGCGCTCCTCCCCGCCGCGCTCCCTTCCACCCTCAGCCCCTCGCCACGCTCACCACTCACGCCCCCGCCGCCGGCCACGCGTGCGGACCCCACCCGGCCCCACCTCCTCCCTAAACGTCCCGCGTCCACAACTCCCGCTCACCTCCCGGTTGTATGCGCGCAGAGCCTCCATAACTACGTCCTCCTCCCCCGTCTCCACGGCATCTGCAACCGCCCGGGGCTCCATGGCGGCCCCGGGACCCAGCGCCGGGAAAGCAGGAAGAAGCTCGCTTCACGGTTCCCGGCCTGCGTCTGCCCGCCGCGCCCAAGCTCGGCGTACTGGGGTGGCCGCGACCGGGCTTGCGCGGCACCGCGGGGCGGGGCCTGGGAGGCGCGCGGGGGAGGCCGGGACGAGGCGTGCGCAGCGTCGCGGGGCGGGGCCTGGGAGGCGCGCGGGGGAGGCCGGGACGAGGCGTGCGCAGCGTCGCGGGGCGGGGCCTGGGAGGTGCGCGGGGGAGGCCGGGACAGGGTGTGCGCGGCGTAGTCTGGGCTACGCGCGCCTTAAAGTGGCGAGCCCTGGAACAGCCCCCCCGCCCCCAGGACCCGAAGGCTTTGCCGCCAAGTGAGCTTGGGCTTCAAGATCCGACTCGGTGATCGTCCGACCTCTGGGCCCGAATCGCCCCTGAACCCAGCGGCGAGCCTCGCTTCTTGGACCGGAATTCCCTGTAGGAGAGGACCTCAGCCCCCCACCCCTCCATCACACGAACACCAACACTCCTCTTGATGCACAGGACGAATGAGATGTCCAGGAGAAAGCCGAGGTGGAAAGGATGTTGCAACTCCGGGACCACTTGGTTTCTAACCAGGCGTTTGAGTGCCTACTGCATGCGAGGAGCCGGGATGCGGGTGAACAGGACCCAAAGGTCCCTGCCTTCGTGCAGCTTATGTGCCAGAGGTGAAGACCAAGACAAGCGGGCAAAGGAGACGACGTTAGGCGTAGTGTTGTGATCGAATAAGAAAAGGGGCTTGATGGACCGCAGGGAGACCTGAAGAAGTGCCGTTGTTGCTGAGGCCGGTTGGTAAGACGTGAACCAGGAAAGGATCTGAAAGAAGGTCATGGAAGGTAGGAGTGGCCAGTGCAAAGGTGGGAATGGCCGTGGTGGGAGATAGAAACGTCATTGTTGTGGCTGCGAGAAAGGGGAGAGTGGGGAGGGGAGGTCAGGATGAAGGCAAAGCCTGGTCATGTGCGGTGACTTCCTTGCTGTTTAAGCAGGCACACCTGCTGGTCCGGCCTGGCCTCAGTTTACTACTTGAAAAGCAGAGATGATAGAAGTTCCCATTTCAGTGGATTGTCAGGCGGACTAAATGACACGCAGCAAATGCTCCATTACGTTAGGTGGTAACTTATAGTCCATCCACTGGGCAAGAAGGCTTTGTTGAGCGTCTGCTTTGTGTCAGGCCCCCTGTCAGTGCCCGGGTGCAAAGTCGAGAAGCGCTGGCCCTGCCGTCCCCGCCCTCGCGCTCCCACCCTTCTGCCCGGCTTCTTGTTTTCTTCGGAGCGCTTCACCCCTGCGACTCCTGCACTGCTCGCTGGCTCCAGGCGCTTTCTAGGCACTGATCTCCACTTTGTCCCGCCGGCAGTAACTGGAGACGGCCTTCGCACCGAGTCCGCTTCTTAGCCGCACCCAGCCGGGCGGGCCGGGTCGGGCCTCAGGACCCGGGCGGGGTCGCGGCGAGGAGCCTCTCGCCCGGGTGAGGGCCCGTGAGCTCTTCACAGTTAGGACCTGAAGCCGCCTTAGGCGGGAATGGCTGCGGGAGTGTTTGTCGGCACCCTAATTGACACTAAAGACACTAACCACCCAGGGGTCCCAAGAGCAAAGGGCTCGCCCCATCCCCAAGCCAAGCTGTGGAAGAAACGTCAGGTCCTCTCCTTCCCACTGCCGCACCCCCGCGGCCGGGACCTCGGCCGGAAGTCGGAGGGCCTGAGGCGGAAGGGGCGGGACCGGAAGCCGCTTTCCGCGAGTGTGCCACGTCAGAGAAGGTTGTGGCCGATCCGTTGACGGGTCTCCGAGTCGGAGCTGGACGGGATGGCGGACTGGGCCCGGGGTGAGTGCGGGAGAGCCGAGGCGGATGGCGGCGGGGCCCGCCGGAACCGACGCCGCTGCCCGCAGGAGCCGCCTTTGCCTGCCCCCCTTCCCGCTGGGTGGCCTCGTCCGGGAGACCTTCGGGGCGGGCGGCGACGGGCCAGGGCGGCCGGGCTGCAGCCAGCAGCGCGGTGGAGGAGTCTCTGGGGCCCTGTGGACGCTCCTGCCCAGCTGCTCCGTGAAGCTGCGGGGTCCGGAGGCTCGCAGTCCCCACCCCTGCGAGATGGTTCTGTCCGGGACCTCGGCCGGGCTGCCTGGTCGACGGGTCCCAGAGGCTAGCCCCCTCGGAGTGGGGGCTGCGCGTGATGAGAGGGCCCAAGCAGGCCGCGTACGGACTCGGGCTCGGGGTGCCCCACTTGCCCCCTGGGAGCCCCTCTTCTCATTTGCCAAGTGGAATGCTGCTGCTTGTTTCGCTGGGCTGTTGTGACCTGTAAGGAATTAATGGATCCAAGGGGTTGGTAGGACGCTAACGCCTCTAATTTTGGGGTCTGTACACATTCGTGGTTCTTAGGGCTGTGCTCCTATTAGGTAAGTTTCATTGAGGCATCTGGGCCAAGGCAAGTATGCACTCTGAACTCTGAACTCTGGGGGAGGCAGTTGTCACACACCCGATAGGATGGTAATTTTATTTGTTTGGTTTTTTGTTTGTTTGTTTTTGTTTTTGTTTTTTTTGCGGTACGCGGGCCTCTCACTGTTGTGGCCTCTCCCGTTGCGGAGCACAGGCTCTGGACGTGCAGGCTCAGCGGCCATGGCTCACGGGCCCAGCCGCTCCGCGGCATGTGGGATCTTCCCAGACTGGGGCACGAACCTGTGTCCCCTGCATCGGCAGGCGGACTCTCAACCACCGCGCCACCAGGGAAGCCCTAGGCTGGTAATTTTAAATCACCAGGCCCAGCTTCTGTCGTGGGCCAGGTCTCAGCAAACACCATGCTCTGGGTGTCATACAAGGCCCTGTGTGGGGTGCAGAAGTGAGCAGACCTAGGCCCTGCTCTTGAGATCAGTCTCAACCTTTGTTACTAAGACTCTCCTAAGGCTTTACCAGAGTTCACTGGTTTTCTCTGAGAACAGGTTTTGTGTACGTCGCTGGTGATATATCCATGGAGGGATGGTACGGGTTCTGTCACAGAATGTCAGAAAGTGCTGGTTGGACTGAGCGCTTTGGAGGTGCCTACGCATCCCAGCCTGGATGAGTACACAGGACATGTGCTAACGCACACTTGTTTATACAGCCTGTCTTGTGTGTGGAGTCCACGTGTTGGATCCTGGGTTAGGGCGGGACCTGGTCAACAGACTCAGGAGGGCCCAGTACCTCCGGACACCCGACTGGGCCAGATGGGATTGGAGCGAGAGCCCTGAGGCCACAAAGCGTCCAGGGGATGCTCGTGGGTGGATGCTTGCCCTCAACCTCTGTCTTTTCTCGCAGCTCAGAGCCCCGGCGCTGTGGAGGAGATTCTAGACCGCGAGAACAAGCGCGTGGCTGATAGCCTGGCCTCCAAGGTCACCAGGCTCAAATCGGTCAGTGGTGGTCCTCTCCTTTTCCCTCCGCCTAGCATCCTGGAGGGGGTATCGGAGGGAGGGTGAAGACCTGGAAGGGTCTCAGGTAGTTCCATCATCCTTGTCCCGTCTGTGGCACACTCACCTGTGTGTGGCCCAGGTGGCATTTGGATCTCCTGACCTCTGCTGGTCTTACTGGGGGTCAGGTGCTGTCCGCTGTGTTTGTCCTGGCCTGACCCTGCCTCTTCTGTGTTCTGACCAGCTGGCCCTGGACATTGATAGGGACGTGGAAGACCAGAACCAGAGCCTGGGCGGCATGGTAAGGCCCGTGTTTTGTGAGTGTCACGGTCACCTCTGCTCCCCACCGCCTGCTGTGCAGCCCCCACATGTGTGTGTGTTGTGGGGTCGCCGCCCTTGTGTGATGATGATGGGATTCCTTCCTCAGGACACGGATCTCACGAGTGTGACGGGCCTCCTCACGGGGAGCGTGAAGCGCTTTTCCACAATGGCACGGTCTGGGCGAGACAACCGGAAGCTTCTGTGTGGTATGGCTGTGGGCCTGATCGTGGTCTTTTTCATCCTCTCCTACCTCCTGTCGAGGCCAAGGACGTGAACCAGTGGGAGCTGGCTTCTGCAGGTGCCTCGGGCAAGCATGGTCCACCTCTGCCTGGCGTCCTGGGCCAGAGAACTTAACGACAAAATACTCCTTTGAAATGATGATTGTGGCTTAGGAATCTTGTTCCTGTGTGGCTGGGAGCCTCTGACCCAGTGAACTTGTGTTAGCTGGTCCCATGTGTGCAAGGGGCCCATCTTCATGGGGTAGCCAAGGCCCACTTCCTCTGCCACCTTGGGTGCTAGAAGCCCCAGCAGAGTTAGGTCCAAGCAGAGCAGCTGGGAATCCTGGACACGGTCACCTGTGAACAGGAGCTCTTCCCCTGGCCCTTGTATTTCTGAACATCTCAAGGCCCTTCTACGCTGTTCTTGTCTGGATAAGGCCACGTCTGGTATTTGAGATGCTTGGAGCTGACATAGGAAGGGGGTGTGGCGGTGAACCTCAAATCATCGCCGTCACCTTCAGCCGAGTGTTCTCACCCCAGAGATGGCAGTTGCTCCTGCTCAGAGCTGCTGGGCATCCGTGGACCAGTGAGAGTCAAGGGTCCTGCCGAGAGGCCTCTTCCTGCCTTCCAATCCCACAGCTGAAGCCCGACTCTCAGGGAAGGGCAGGGGTTGTGGATGGAGTTGGGAACTGCAGCCTTCGCTGAAAGCATGGGGCTCACATTCTGGTGATCTCCCGGCCATGTATCCAGGTGCGGAAAGTGATATTTTCTCACGATTCAAGATCTACCCAGAGCACCAGAGATCTATTTCCAGGATACCAGATTTCTAGAAACAAGTCCATCTGGCATTTCAGAGTCAGGCAGGGTGTGAGAAGGGACTTTTGTGGGTATAGACAGGAGGTTTCCAAGTAAGGACTCTTCATAGGACCTATAGGTCAGTTTCTGAGGGTCAGCGGGCAGTTTCCACCAAGCCTGGCCCTTCCACTGCGGTGTTTGCCCACCTCTTCCTGGGCCCTCAGCGCCCACTCGGTCAGTCCCCTGCTCACTCGAACCTCGAACTGAACCACAGGCCCAGCCAGACCAGTGGCTTCTTACCCTACTGAGACCACAGTATCCTTGTCTTCACAAAAAACACTTGTAAGAAACGAGTCACCGGCTCTGTGTCCTTCCCTGCCCTTGTCCGACCTTCTGGTTTCCTAGTCAGCCCCCCTTACTCCCTGAGGGCTACTGGCTCACCGTCCGCCTCCCCACACGCTCGTGCCATGCGCGGTCATGCGCACCAGCCGCATCTGCCCCACATTGCTGGTCTCTGGCCCCGGGCACTGCGCCTCTGGCGCTGCTGCTGCTCCTCCCCTCGTCCCCCGCCCAGCATGCCGGCTTCACCTCGCACGCTTGCCTTGGTGCCCTCCCTTCTGCTGTACCTGTGACCTGAGTGCGCCGTCTCGTCCAGTGTGTGCTTGTGTCTCCCCCGGTGAGACTGCCTTGCTTGTCTCCGTGTCTCTGGGGCTTGGCTGTTTCCCTGTCCTCCTAGACGTTCCTTCGCAGGTCTCTGGTCCTGCCTTGACCCTCAGCGCCCTGTGCGCTGCGGCTTTGGCTTCGCCTGCTTCTCATCTCACACTGAACCTTGTCGCGGGGCCTTGTCCTCCGGTCACCAAGCTCAACAGCTGCTGCCTGTGCAGTGTCTCCACCTGGTTGCCGCAGGCCCTGCAGATACACCCAGACCTGAGCTCCGTGGCCCCCACCTTGTCTGGACCTGCTAACTTTGCTTCCTGAGAACGTGGCTCAGCCATGGCAGCCTTCCCCCTGCAGATGCTTTTATGTGGTGTGCCCCCTTGTCTTGCCAAGGCAGACCAGGAATTTAGAGTTTGCCTTCAGAGTGGCACACCGGCTGCTGTGTTCTCTCCTCAGGTCTCTGTCTGTGCCTCCCCACTTCTCCACCTCCACGGCTCTTTGCAGCCCTTCCAGCTATTTGGGGGTCTGGGTTCTAGTTTCTTTGTGGTTTACTTTCTTGCTTCCTACTCTCATTGTGTTAGGTGAATTCCTGAAGGGAGCATGGCATCCCTGCTGCCGCTGTGTCGGCAGGGTTTCCTATGGGGCCTTCCCTGCTCAGCCCTGTACACTGAGCACCTAATCCTGTGGGTAAGTGGGGTTTGCCGAGGTTGATCCCGGAGACCATAGAACAGAAGGACTTGGAGCCTCCCTCTGTGCCAGGTGAGGATGAACTGCCAGGCTCTATCCCATAATTCAAGGACAACACACTTAGCAATAAAAATTTGGAATAAACAGCTTCGTGATGAAGTGAACACATAGCCTTTGGTGTTTTCATTTCCTTGGGGGTTTCAGATAGCTTTGTCTGGAACTGACTCTGCTCCATAAACTGGCCGTGGGCACCAATGGTCTGGACTCTGCTGCTTTCCTTCTCCTGGGTCCCTTCTCCCCTCCTCACTCATCCCCTCAGGCGGGCAGACGTGAGCTTGCCACTTCCTGATGCTGGACCTTCCTTTGCGCAAGTTTCTGCGACTCAGATGGGGAAGATCATAGCGTTACCTCTTCAGGATTAAAGGGATGCATGTGAGGTGTTTAGAACAAGTAGCCTGACACGGTCACAGCTGAGTGAGGGTCAGCAGCTGTACTGTGCTTAGTGCAGCTGCAGCCCGCAGTCCCACGGGGGTGACAGGGCTGCCTGCTCAGGGCTAGGGTGAAGGTTAGACTTCATTCCTCAAGGCTGGCCTTGGACTCCAGGGCACCCTCTGGAAATACCCCTCTTCATCCCAGCTCAGACACCCCCTTCCCTGCACAGATCTTATGCTTCCCACGTTATCTTTGATGTTTAACAGATCACCTTCAAATGTAGTCACTTAAAGTGGCAGTAATAGTTTATGTCTCATGGTTACTGCTGGAGTTTGAGACAGGCAGAGCGGAGACAGTTGTCTCTGCTCTGTGATGTTAAGGCCTCCGTTTGGAGACAAGAGACTGGCACTGCCACTTGCTGAAGGCTCACACGTGTCTATAGGTCATGGCTGGTGTGAGCTGAGGGCTCAGCTGGGTTCACTGTGTTGCCGTGTGTTGAGCTTCCTTACAACATGGTGGCCAGTGTGACGGTGAGCAGAGAGAAAAGGGACGTCCAGGCAGAAGCTGTTTTCTTTGTATGTTGCATGGCCTGGCTTCAGAAGTCACGTGGCATCACTTTATTCAGGACGTCACAGGCTCTAGATTCCAGGGGAGGGACACAGACCCCATCTCAGTAGGGGAGAGGCAGTCACACAGGGAGAGGACCACACGGGAAGGGACGAATGCAGGTGTGACCGTCTTTGGAGGATACAGCAAGGCGCAGAGGGCAGCGCTCAAGGCAGAACCAGAAGGGCAGGCATAGCAGCGTCTGATGCTCCTGAGCCCTCCTCTGCTCAGACCCCAGGCCCTGGAAGCTAGGGTGGGACCCGACATGGGCTGGCATGATCGCCTATGGGGGCCCCTTTCTGGAAAATCTTAATCCTCCCTCTAGGCAAGCCATCGCTAACGGAATCCGTGATTTATTGTATATCTGGGCACAGCAGGAAACACGTTTAGCAAATGGGAAAGCATAGAAAAAATAGCTGGTCACAATGTCCGAGCGAGCATGCTCTGCCCTGCAGGGCCAGGCTGGCTGCAGCCCAGCTGGTAGAGGAGACGCCCAGAGCCCTCAGCTCAGGGCATCTGTTGTTGGGGGGACGTGATGTGCAGAGGCTTAGCGTGACGCGTGGGGCGGGGCCAGGGCTATTCCACGTCCACGACCAGGGGTGTCATGTAGTCAGAATGCTTGATGCCAAAGGTGACGATGGGGGCACAGGGCTTGGTCACTGTCACCTGGGAGAGGAGAGGCTGTGAGGGGCCGGCACCCCTGTCCCCGCCCCGCAGGCTCTGCCCTCACTGGGGCCGGGGCTGCTGTACCCCCTAAACCCCCGGCCAAGGTGACCAGCAGGAAGTCCACACTGCCGGGCTTGACCACAGAGCCTGGTGTGTGGTGACACTCAGCAGCGCTCACCGTCACCAGTGTCTGGGGACGCTGGGGACACAGAGCCTGCTGACTGGGGAAGGCTGGTGCTGGAACGCACAGTGTTCTGATGGTGCCTGGCCCCTGTGACCCTTGCAGGCTTACAGGCCCGTCCCCACCCCACCCCTCCGGGCCGTGCTCTTGCCAGACCTTCTCAGGGCTGTGGGCTCCTGGTCCTGGCTTGAGGGTCTTGTCCCTCAGGGGCTCCACTCGGGCAGCCATGGTGTGTTGTGGAGCCTTGAACTTGGTCACCTGGACGTCGGTCTGGCGGTAGGCTGCGGGACCTGGGGTCTGGGAGGTGAAGGAGGCTCACACAGGCTCGGCCTGCCAGGGCGTGCAACCCCAGAGGGCAGGGGCTGGCATCAGACACTGGGTTTCAGGCCCCAAGTCACTGTGTGCCTGTGTGTCGGGACTCTTTTGTCTCCAAACGATGGCCACACCATGTGACAGTACCCCAGTGCTGTGGGGCCCTTCTCTGTGTGGGATGTCACCTTCCCTTCAGCCTCGCCGTGGCAATGACACCCCAGTCTGTGCCAGCCCCAGACTGGTCCCTTCCATGATTGTGTGTGTGAGAGAGGACTCTTCCCAGTTGGAGACTCAAGGGCCTTGGGCTGGTGAGGTCAGCGGTGCTGTGATGCCACCTTGCCAGTCTCCCCAGGCTCCCCAAGCTCCCGGGTACACAAGCACCTCAGGGCCTTTGCACTGGCTGTTTCTGCAGCCGGAACCCTCCTCCCCCAAATATGTCACAGCTTATTTTTCCCCTCTTCTTAGCTTCTTCCTGCATATGCCACGCTGTCTCACCGCTCCTCGCCCCTCAGGCAGCACCCACACACCCGTCCCTGTTCGTCTCTCCTCAGCACCATCGGTCTCCATGCCGAGCCTCGGCCTCTTTGTCCTCCTCCACTGTCTGCCCCTCCTCACCTCTGGGATGTAAACCAGTGGGGGTGGGGACAGACGTGTGGCAGGCTGCAAGAGGATGAAGGAGCTGAGGGGCTTCGGGAGGATGGGGGTCAGGCTGGTGGGTCCTAGGTTCTGGGGGAAGGGGCCCGATGGGCCGTCTCTCTAGGGGGTAAGCAGTGCTCTGCCCGAGCTGGGCGACCCTTGCCTTGTACAGGTCGTCGCTGAAGCTGCCCAGCTTGCTGCGGCCTTTGATGGAGAAGGCGGGCTGGGAGGCCTTGCCGACAGTGTGGGGCCCCATCACCACGGGCAGCATGTAGGCAGCGGGGCCTGTGAGGGGCACAAGTGCCGAGTCTCAGGCTGGATGGAATCCTGTGCCCAGAGTCTCCATCCCCATCAGGCCGGCCCCCCTCACCCGCACTGCCCGGGATCCTCGACCCGGTCAGCCATGGGCCATCGGGGCTGCGGCGGACCTGGGGTGCTGTCCACTCGGAAGGTCTTGGTTCGGGCAGAAATGGAGTGGCTGGGTGCCGAGTCGAACACATGCTTGGTAGATTTCTCTGGAAAGTAGTGGCCTGGGGGTGGGGGGAGGAATGGTGTGGGTGCTGGGACAGGGAGGACCATCCAGCAGATGCAAACAGATGCCTGACCCTGCTCGGGCGGTTCTAGGAAGACCCGCGACGTCGCAGGCCTGGGGCCTCTGGGCCCCAGTGAGTGGCGACCGGGATTGTGCACGGGTGTCCACGATGGAAATGCTGGCTGCAGGATTTGGGGGGAGGCAGGGGCTGCTTTGAGAAGGAGGGTGAGAAGGAGACTTTGAGAAGGAGACTTGGGCCTGGTGTGGTGACTTTGGCCAAGGAAGGCCCAGGTCAGAGTAGGGCACTAGGGTCTCAGAGGCTGCACTGGGGTCACAGCTCTGCCTCCAGCCTGATGGGACCCTTCATGAGGAGAACGGTGGGTCAGGAGGGTGAGGATGGCTGTACCCCTCACACCCTGGCCCTGCCAGGCCTGCAGTGGCCACCAGCAGGGTTGGGCAGGGCGGGGCTGGGGCTGGGCCAGAGTCCCTCACCAGGGCCGGGGGTCAGCGTGGTCTTAGTGCAGTAGCGCCCCAGGATGGAGTAGGCGGGACCGAGGTCCTTGCCAGTCCTCAGTATCTTGGGGTTCACACTGTAGCGGGGCCCTGGGGAGCAGTTCTCTGCCAGGAGCATGGGGGCCCCATGGAAGCTGTAGGCCGGTGCGCGCAGCTTGTTGGGCGTGTGCTTCACAAAGCCTGTGGGGCAGGGGCTCTGAGCAGCTTGGAGCCAGACCCTGCCCTTCTCCCCCCAGACCCCCCATTGACCCCAGAGGGGTTGGTGGGCTGGGAGTCAGGGATGAGCCCTGGCCATCCCCGGGCTCCCCCCAGACCTGGCTCCTGCCCCCTCCCAGGCTCCCAAGTGCTCACCTGTGGTGGGTGGAATCAGGTACTTGGGTCCAGGGCTGCTGTAGAGGGCCATGATGGGTCCCCGGGGGCGATGGGGCCTCCAGGTGCCCACCCATACCTCCTCCGCCATGACTGGCTCTGTCCATGGATGGAAGGGTGACAAGGTGCTAGGAGGCCTGGGCCGTCCACCCCCATCACTGCCTTTGCTCCCACTGAGGGGCAGAACTGCAGGCCACAGCCTCCTCAGTGGGGTCTCGAGTTGAGGCCCAGACTTCAGAGCAGTGGGAGATTCTGCCGCACCAACCGCCCCCCCCCCAAGGGGAGGAGCCTTGGAGCCGTGGACAAGCCTGTGTCTCTTTCAGCACTCACGGGCCACCCCACAGTGGCTCTGAGGGGGTCTGTGCAGGTTCTTCCCGCTCAGAGGGCCCTGGGCGTGACTGGGCAAGGAGCAGTGGGCAACGGTGGGGAACTTCTGGGATGAGACTGTGCCGTGGGCTGAGCAGGGGTCTGATCTGGAGGGGCCCTCACCTCCGTAGTCCAGGAGCAGTGCTCAGAGCAACCTATGGACCGAGCCTTCTCAGAGGCGATCCCGTCGCACCGACCTCGGTGCCAGGGAGTTCCAGAAAAGGAGCATGGAGAGGAAGCCCTCTTCCTCTCTCTCCTCTCCCCCGGGGGCTTTGAGAATTGGGGAAGGGTCCCGGCCCTTGAGCTCTAGAATGTGGCTCTTTGGGGTGGTGGGTTCTAGATCACTGTCTGTGTGATGGAGACAATGGCCTCAGCCCGTGGGACCCACCCCCCGCCCATGCCTGGCTCGGGACCCGGGTCTTTGCTCCTTGTTGCAGGGTGCAGGCCAGAGGCGCAGAGGGCAGGAAGGGGACAACTAGGTTCTGGACTAGGACAGTGAGGCCATGGGACCCAGAGTCCGAGTGGCCGAGGAGTAAGGTCCTCAGGGGCAGAGCTGAACCTCCTCAGTCCTGCCCTCGGGGAAGGACTGAGCTGGGGAAACTGAGGCACAAGAAGCCTCTGGCTGTTGGGCTCCTGGGATCCAGGGTGCAGTAGGGCTGCCCTCGTTTGGGGTGGGGGCAGGAGCTGGCATCGGAAGCTGCTGCTCTGCTGAGGGACCTTTCCCTGACCCTACTCTCCCTCCCGCGTCACACTGGCTGTGCCCACCTGTCGGACCCTGAGTGTCCTCATTAGCATGTCCTTCTTGGGGCTCTGGCTGGGGCTCTGTCTCTTTCCTTGGGTGACTTCTGACTCCCCTGGACCTGTGTTATGTGTATATTGTGCACATTTGTTGTCTCAAAATGATAACCTCCAGATGCAGAGCGCCAGTGCCCAGCCTCACCCCCAGCCCCGGCCACTTCCTCTCTCTGGGGCTCTTTGCCCTTCCCCGCTCTGAGCCCCTGCCCCCGACCTCTGCCTCGCAGGCCTTCTTGTGTCCTGATGCCTCCCTGCATCCACATGTCTTGCCTATCTGTCTGTCTTGCTTTGTCCACCTGCCTACAAGGGCATCTGCCTGGATTTCTGTTGGTGGGTCTGCCCTCTATGTGGGGTTACTTATACGTGTGTGCTCCGCTCACATGATCCTATGTGTGAGCCTGTGGTTGTGTGCCTGAGGGTGGGGAGAGACAGGAGCCAGAGCCTGAGCTGCAGGAAGCTTTATTGATTGGATGGCTTGAGGATAAATTCATGCATAGGGAAGTGGTAGGGGTGTCGTCGTCATGGTTGCTTGTGCGGCTGGTCCCACGGCTGCTTGGAGCCACATCTGGGGTCTACTAGGCATCGTCCTGACTGCCCAGCACTTGCACCCAGAAGGCAGACACGTGTGGGCCAAGAGGCCTGGGGTTTCCGTGCCCGGTGATGAGTAACTAGAGAGCCACAGCTCCATCAGGCAAACAGGCCCAGGCCAGCCTCTGGGGGGATGGTTGGCTCTGGCACATTGCAGCCGGTCCCCTTCCAGCAGCTGGGGAAGCGGGGTGTGCGCGTGTGTGTTTTCATTTGTGTGTGTGTCAGGTGTGAGCGTGTGCATATGCATGTATGTGCATGTAGGGGGAGGCTGAGGGCTGCTCTACAAGCAGTGAGGTCTGGGATGTCCACCTCTGCTGGCTGAGGCAGGTCAGGGTGTCTGTGGGGTGCTGGGGTACGGGGTTGCTGCACTGGGTGGGTGATGAGGGGCTGTGGCATTTGGTGGAGGGCCTGAGGAGTAGGACTGTGGGTCCTGCTAGGGCTGCAGGCCTTTAGGGAGTGGGGTGCCCCCTGGCCACGGTACCAGCAGCTTGACCAGCTCCGGCTTGTGCATGGGCTGCAGGCCATCCGTGCAGGACTTGAGCTCGGTTACCGCTGCCTTGGCATCTGCACTGACGTCGTACTTGCCCAGGGGCCCCTCACAGAGCTCCTCTGCGGATCCCACCAGCAGCGTTTGCAGGAAGTCGATGAAAAACTTGTTGTTGTCCTCCCCCGTGGCCAGCCCTGTGTTGGGGTGAGATGAGGCCAGGCCAGGACTCCTTCCAGCTCCACCCCCAGACCTCCCACCTCTAACCTCAGCCGTCTCCAGACCTTCGCCATCAATGTCCCCCTCACCTGCCCCAGATCTTCCTCCAAACATCCCCCAGCTCCACCTGCCCGCAGACCCCTCCCGTCACCCTAACCTCAGCGGGCTCTTTCCGCTCTGGGTTCCCTAGCGTCACTGAGGAAGGAAAGCCAAGCCTCTGACTCAGTGGGAATTTCCCCTCCGTGTGAGGTTGGCTGACCTGGAGGCTTGCATTGGGGTCAGGGTCAGCCTGGGCTGGGCTGGGTGGGTGACATTGGGCTTGGTGGTGACACAGGGGCTGGGAGAGAGGTTGAGCTGGGCTGGGGTTGGGGTAGGGTTGCTGGGGGACTGGGGTCGCCAAGGGCACCAGGGTCATTGTCCACATCTGTGTTCTGTGATGGAGGTGGGTTGGGGTGCCTGGGAAGGTGGGCACCAATCACTGTGGGGCCCAGTGCCTGGATTTCTAGCTTCCCACATTCCCGCCCATTTCCCCCGACACCAGCCGCTCGAATGTGCTGGAAGCACCTGTCAGTGCACAGACTCAGCACGGGTGCCGAGCAAGGAGAGCGCCACTAGCAGGAGGGTGCCGCCCCCCTTCATGGCGGACGCGCAGGCTCCTCAGGAGCTGCCCGGGCCTGCTTTACGCCTCACAGGCACCTGTCCTGGGGGCGGGTCCGACCTGCCCATCAGGACCCAGCCAGTGCGAGCAGCCGTGGGGCAGCCGACGGTGTGTCCTCTCCCCCTGCCCAGCAGTGGTTGCCAAGCAGCAAGGGGCCTGGGGTGCTTGGCAAACGTTTGGGGTGAGTGGACAGAGGTAAGGGGGCGACGGGAGCCTGGTCAGCAAGGAAGGGTGGTGTGGCTGGGGATGCTGAGGGCCTCTGGCCTCGCTTGGCTTGTGGCTGAGAGTGGCAGGCTCGTGGGCTAGGCCCAGGCCTTTCTTTTGGGGTGGGAATCCCCCCTCCACTCAGCATGCTTTGTGGGCCAGTGCTGGGCTCTGATCCCTGAGACAGCCTGGAGGTCTCCACTGGGGCAGGGGTGGGGGACGTCCTGGGGTCTGCAGATCTGGGCGGTAGGAGATGGGCCCAGGGCCACGGGAGGCCCGAAGTGGGCAGCAGCCTCCAGGGGATGGAGGGTGGGCCTGAGAGTGACTGAGGGGTGAGGAGCTGGGCCACCTCTGGGACCTGGTGGGATTACAGTCACTTGCAGGAAGTGAGGAGGGGCTGCAGTCTGACTCAGCTTCCTTCTGTGGTCATCCAGCCTGGAGAAGTCTAGGATCTGGAGGAGACAGTCCAGTGCTATGACGGAGAAAGGGGGCTGCAACCCCTGGGCCCATAACTAGGCGGCCCCTGGAGCAGTGCTGCATCCGGGCCCTTATGCCTGGGCCCTCTTCTCCCGTCCCATGCTGCCACCTGGTGGCCAACGGCATCCTGCAGGACAGGCCCACTCTCCACAGGGCCCCTGTGAGGATCCAGGGTTTCAGGCCCTACCTGGCCCCCGGGGGCTCCTCATTCAGTACTGACACCTCCAGACCAACCTTGTCCGGATTGGTTACCCTGCCTCTGCTTGTCACCCTTCCCCTCACTTGCCCCCAGCTGTCCCTGAGTCTGTCACAGTCCACAGACCCTTGTCCTGTGTCCTCTGAGCACTCAGAGCTCCTCATCCCCTTGGGTGTCTGTTTATAATAAATAGTCTGTAGAGTCCCCTTTGCTAACATGAAATGAAACCCATGGAAGATATAACCTGCTTCTACTCACAATTCCGAGAATATAGGAGAAATAACGTGTAATGAGGTCACATCTGTAACAAAACAATGTGGCTTCATGGGTGAGACTGCTTTCGGCAAATCGGAGCCCCTCCCTGTCCCCAAAGGCCCAGGGGGTTCTGGTCAGTGGGACAGGCCTTTCTCTGATTATGCTTTGATGGCCCCATCATCTTCTTAAACTTAGTGGTCCTCTGGCTGCTTGCTGGGCCACCTGGAGAGATGTTTAAAGGTGCTGTCCCTGGGCTGTGACATAGTCCAGACCCATGGAAGCAGGGTTCCGGGGGCAGGGCCTGGATATCTGCCCTTCTGAATCCCTCCGGCCCCAGTGGAGACCGTCCGCCCAGCCTTTATTCCCCTTCCTCTGCACTTTTCTCCCAGTCTCCAGAGCGCTGTGTGTTGGTTTGATATGATTTCAAATGCACTTTCTCATGACTTGAGTGAAGTTGTTTTAATCCACCAGCTGTTTTATGACCAAGACCAAAACCAGTTTTTTTTGGAAGAAAAGTTGTTTTGATTTAAGAATGAAGTGAGCTGTGTCAGGGTCACTCCCTAGCAACAGGGCACTGGATGCCGGCTCCTGGCTGGTTAAGCCGACTCTCTCGAGAATCTCACAGAAAAGGTACACCTCGACTAAATGTGGACTTTATTCCTGTCATCTCCCCTTGTGTGGGACAACAGTGTAATTAATCTGTCTTTTGTTTGGATTATGTTATTTCTTTATTGGCGTATTGTAAAGAGACATTATCCTGTATGCTATTGGCTTGAGCAATTATTGTAACTCCCACCATGAACCTGTGTTGAATACAGTATTGGCAGACAGTCTCAGTCTCTGAGAGTGATTTGCCTCCCCCTCCCGCAACAAAACAGCTGCCCCGACTGGAGGTGGGCTGGGTGCCCTCCTTTACTACATTTGGATTTTCAGTTTTTCTTTTTCCCCAAACGCCAGCCCCCTGGAATCACATGCTATTGAACATCGCTCCTGCAGCCTTTCACAGGCGCCGTCAGTTACGGAATCCCCAACAATCTCTCACAGTTGCTGAGGATTTGAGCCTCTCAGTTCTGTCTTGCTCTGCTTACTCCTCCAGGTACCATTCTTGGTGACTTTGCTATGCATATACCTAGCCCATCCCACACCTTGACCTTCGTTCCCCTGGCCTCCTCCCCTCCTGTGGTGTTGCCCTCCACCCGCTTCAGTCAGTAACTGTCAAGGTTATCCCCTGGTCTTTGCAATACCAATAACTGCACTCCCTGCTCAATTTCTATTTCAGGTGCCCCTGCCTCTGGCCATGTCCTTTCCCTCAGCTCGCTACCTCTGGTGCGCAGCAGTTACTCAGGAACTGCTCTGGCCAACCGTCATAGTCCTACACACATCCAGTCCTTTTGAAGAGGCACAGGCCCGAATTCCTACCTAGGGTGTTCCATGGTTCACGTAGTTCACTAGATGCAGAACACCTTGCTTGGAGAAGCTGATTCAGGGGAGGAACCAGTGTGTCATCTGTGTCTCTTTCGACTTGTTAGAAAGCACAGGGATGTACGCTGCCTGTGCCCATGAAATGGGGGCCTGATGGAACTAGCCTTGCTTTCCCATTTTGAAATCTCCATGCATGCTGCCTTGAAGCTACCTGAAATTCACTGGTATTGACAGGCCTCTAGCCACTGTAGGCCTGGCTCTGGGAAGAAAATGAGTTTCCTCTATCTAAACCAGGTTCTTCCATGACCGGGGTGGGGCTCAGCCTGCCACGCTCTAGAGCTAAAGGGAAACTCAACGTGAGTACTTGCCTCGAGGACAGGCCCTGAGTAGCCGGGCAGAAATGGAGGCATGCAGGTGTTTCCATGAGGTCTTATTCTCTATTCTGCTTTATTTTAGAGGAAGTACCCTTTTCAGGACTCCTAGGCCCCTCTGGTGTGCACCACTAACCCTCCAAGATCACTGAGTACCTCCAGAATCCCTGTGGGCCTGCTGAGCAGCATCGAGGCCCATAGGTCGGTCCCTCGGAGGCCCTCTGTGTGTGCCGAGTGATGGGCAACACACTGCATGTTCGTTAAGGAGAGCTACATTTCCAGAGCCCTCGAACAGCCTCAGGACCATATTTCTGCGCAGTCCGATGTGCCATGGACGTCTTCGTCATGGCCGTCGTCTAGGTTACCATGAGAAAACATTCTGCTTAGAATTCTTCGAAGACTTCGTAACTGAAGTCATTCTATTCAAGGAGAAGGGTCAGCATGCTACCGTGCGTCACTAACGGGACGCTCAGCGTGAGCACTTGCCTCGAGGTAATGCCTACTGCGTGCTGTGACCCATATCGCCTGTGAGGACACAAGCCACAAGCATGTGCTGGGTCCTGTGAGCCCCCAGCCGGTCCCTGAGGGTGAGGGCGGCCCTGCAGACCCCAGCCCTCTCCTTCACGCCTAGTAGGTGGAAGACCCGCTTCTCACTGCCATTCCAGAAGCGGTTCTGAGGCTGCCCTGGGAGGGCTTCTGGGGTTACGCAGGCTGAGCCCCTGTTGCTAAGTCCCCGCTTCCCCGCAAGAGCCTCCAGAGCAAGCAGTTTGCCTGTTGCCTGAATGACCGCCCACCAGTTTTCTCAGGAAAGAATCAGGGGTTTCTGTAGCAGCGTCTGCAGGCAGCTCTGCATCTGGTCCCATGTTCACATCTTCTGTGTAAACACTGAGAACCTTCCCTGACACGTGCCCCCGGCTGACCCCCCCTCCGCATGCTGACCACAGGCCCCAGTGCAGGCGTCAGACTGACCGCCCGTCTCAGCCTCCTGTTGTTGTCAGAGCTGCTCCAGGCCCTGCTCAAACCCGTGGACCCACCTTTCACAGCGTGGTCCTCCACCCCCACCTTCTTCACCTAAGTATTTAAGTGACGGGGTCCAGAGGTAAGAAAGGAAGCTACAAACAAACAAACAGATGGAACCTTCTGGGACTAAGATGGCAACGAATGTGACCTCCAACCGACCCTGAGTCTCATCACGTGTTGAATTTACTATATCGGCATATTAGGTGACACACCTACCGGCGGCCATGACTGGACTTGAAGGACCAGAAACGGGTAGAAGGAGGTGGTACCCCAGCCCCTTGGAAGAAGCCCCGCCCCTTCCCCCGCAAGGTCTCTTCATCCCATCAGTAGCCTCACTGCTCCTCCCTTTGTCTTTACTCTTTAAAATTAACCCACTCTCTCCAGGAGGGCGAGAAGGTGATCTGTGAACTCAGTTCCCGCTTCTCTATTCTTTGGCCACTGAATAGAGCCTGTGCTGTGTTGGTCTCGGCTTTGGTTCTGTTATTTGCCTACTTGAACCCACGTGGAAAAAGGAAACCTCCCCCGCTGAGGCAGAGCGCCTCGCAGGCTGGGGCCCGAGCAGGGTCCACGTGACTTCACTTGGTAACAGTCTGTAAGGGGACTGTGGTCTGTGCCTGCGAGGTGGGGAGGGGACACCTACAGCCATAGCACCGGCTCCGTGGATGGCACGGAGCCTTGTGGGCCTGGACCGTGTGCTCTCGTCCCCCCACGGCTGACACCCCCTGACAGTCGTGACGCGGTGACACTGGCTGCTGGGCGTCCAGTCAGGGGGGACCAGAGGCAGCACTTGGTGCCAGGTGAGACGTGCCTTTTCACGGGCAGGGGACATAGGAGATACTAGGACTTTGTGTCTAGAAAACAAACCAAGCGGCTAGAAGGTGATCTGAGCCGCGGACTTGAAACTCATGTGCGAGGTGAGGGCTCCCACTGGACACTGGCTCGGGAGCTTCCGCACAGGCGAGACCACACCCGTGCTTCCCGCCCGACCCCTCCAGGCCTCCCTGTGGGCACAGCTGGGCCTGCGCCCCTCAGGCTC